AATAAATACACACCCGAATGTAAGGAAGAAGGGGACGATTCATTTAAAAGCAGTCATTTTAAATGAATCCGTCCCCTTCTTTGCCTTCATCGATCGTCTCGCTTTCAGGTAATCTCTGAATGACGGATCCTACACAAATTAGTCCCTTCACAAAGCCGCAAAACCTCACAAACATTAGTTTCGCCGATACAATTAAAAAAAAAGAACCGGTTTCATCTTTCCGCTGATTTTGCTTGATATTTTTGTGTCAAAGGACACTTTGTTAATGTTTTGTAAAGTTGCACCTACATGATAACCTAGAGAATCTGCCCATTTCTTGAAAATGATGATCTTTTTCGGAGTTCAGGACTTTCCCGGCGCTTTCTTTGTCCAGGATTTTTGCTTTCTTCAGCGACAATAACAAACCTCTATTTCTTTCCTATAAAAATCTTCGATTGTGGGATCGTATTTCTCGATGAATGTATTCGAAACGAATTGAACGGTGAGCGCCGACTTACCAACACCTCCACTTCCCAGTACTACCACCTGAAAATGTAGGTAAACAGAAATATTCCAACACATATCGGTGGGTTGGCAAAAAATGCACAATATTACTATTATGAAAAACTATTTTTTTTTTTGATTGGGCACCTAAAGTCACAACTGGTCGAACCACATGCCTCAGGAAATGTCAAAAGTCAAAATACCTCCTGCATGTTCCACTTTCTGTGAAAGATAAAGGTCACGGGAAGTAGCCCAAGTCATTGCATTTTTCTAGTAGCAATTACCCACTGAACTGATTCATGCTTCGAAAACTGCGTGGAAAACAAGCTGAAGGAGGAAGACGGAGAAGGGAGGGGGTAGTTCCATAACATAATATGGTACTACCAATTTACTACCGAGGAAAAAAATCAACGAACATAGAGGGACTGGTCATTTCAAAATTCATTTCGAACGAATCGATCGAGTTTGACAATAAACATTATTTAATAATAAGCAAAGTGCGCCTGGCACGGCAAAAACTCGAGAAAACTTCAAATCCAATTGTTTTTGAGAAGCAATCGCTGTGCAGTTAGTAATTTTTGGGCTTCTACCACTTATACAGTTCACAAAGCACTGAGAATCCAACATTCCTGTTAGTAACCTTTAGACTTCTACATTTATGCAATTCAAATTCACCAGGCACCGAGACGCAGTACCTTGAACTCCCGCATACTCCAGTTGGATGGCGGAGGTACAAAAATTCGGCAGTTCTCATTCAATGCAGCACGCCAGGATTGGTTGCGAACAGCTCGTTGGAAGTGCCGAAACGCCAGGAAGATGTGAAATGAGCATCAGATTGGGTCCTGGATGATAACAGCTGACCACTCTGTGTTCGATAAATGCCTGAAATTAAAAAAATAATAAAAATTTGTTTGATTAAAAAAGTACGCCATTTT